TCCATCCATCCATCCATCCATCCATCCATCCATCCATCCATCCATCCATCCATCCATCCATCCATCCATTCATCTCTCTCTCCTTCTTTCACTTTCCACCTCTCTCCTCGTTGTCTTACTCGCCTCCGTGTTTGCGTCGGCAGACGTTGACGAATGCGAGGAGGAGATTCACATCTGTGATCTTGACGCGGAGGTCTGCGTCAACACGGTGGGCGCGTATGACTGCAGGGTCGTCGGTGGCGGGCGGGCCTGCGAGGTGGGATACGCTTTTAGTCTGCACAGCAACCGCTGCGAAGGTGAGTGCATCGCAGACTACGACAGCAGGGAATATTTTAGACTTAGTCGTAACATTTCCCCTGTGTTATAATCGCATACCGATTATTATCGTTGAGCTATAATATGTATGACAGTGTCGCCACAGGGCTGTAGCCTTCGGATGGGGGAGGGAGTAGCAGTCCGTGACTTTTTTATTTTGTATAAAAATAAAGAAGGGTAATAAATTAATAAAATGGTAAATTATAACCCTACAGTAAGTATATATCATCATAGAAATCCGGAAACGCTCGACTCGGATCCATCTGGCCATGATTCAGCCCGTTGTAGATTTTGTCAGTGGCGTATAAATATTAACCCTTTTCAGCACTCGGGCACGCTAGCATATTTTAATGAATTTCCTTTCCGCACAATTTCGTTGCGTAGGAACTGTATAAGCTCTGCGCGCATATATGACAATATTTTTCATTGTATCTGCATTATTTTATATTATATTTACACTATTACTACTACTAATAATAATGATAATTATTGATTGATCGCATTCTATGTGCGTAAAACGTATTTTGCATTTGCCTGCAAATGTGCCAAAAGCACCGACGCAATTCGATTAATGATTGCCATCTTACATAGACGTGGACGAGTGCGCTCTCGGCACGTACACGTGTGAAGCACAAGAGATGTGTGTGAACACCCCCGGCGGACATGTCTGCACCGACCGCGACTTCTGTCCGGAAGGTTTTCGCTACATCAGCGGACTGCAGTTCGAAAGCGGCCAGTGCAGAGGTAGGATATGTAAAGCCGTGTATAGGGCTATAGAGTCAAGATGAGGCCCCGATAAGATGTAGTTGGTTGAATACAACATCGGTGGGGCGAACGTTCCTGAGCACGACAAGTTAGGAACTAACGAGATTATAACATTGGACCTAATCGCCGTTGTGAGTATACGCCTGCAAAAAACAACGAACAACCAATGCATGTTCTTACTGATGACCAGGTCGATTTCCTTACCTCTAATTATGAATAATAAACCAAATAACATAGTAATTAATTATAATAATAATAATAATATAGTTACCTAATTCATCACATCTCTATACATATATATCTATATACATCTATATTATATTGGTTATATGTGTGTTAAACGGTTGACTAAAAGAAACTGATGTAACGTTGTCTTGCCAGACGCAACCGCGGTGTTGCTTTTCCCAACGCTACCGATTATAATCACATAATAACGCCATATAAACTAGTAAATAACATAAAACAAAAATGATAATATGTGACAAGGACGATAAACAAATAACGATAATAAATAATGAATAAATAACACATTATATAAACAATAATAAATGATCGATTGGCGACAGTAGTGGTTCCCCCGGTTCTCTATAGATATCGACGAGTGCTTGGAGGGTCGGGACGAGTGTGATCGTCTGACACAGCGATGCTTCAACTTTCCGGGCAGCTACCAGTGTCACAGCATCTCCGAGTCGACCTGCCATCCCGGCTACACCTACAGCCCGCAGCACAGGATCTGTATCGGTGAGCGACGCGCGCGAACAATCGATCAATCCGTCTGATCGGCATAATCACGGGCTCTCGGATATTATTGCAGTTTGTGATATTAAGGGAGTTATTATTAAGTTTCGGATATTATTGCTAGGCAGTTTTATGTTTTTCACGCGCGCACGTCAAACTGTGGAGCATGAGGCACGCCGACAAGCATAGTTTTAAGGACATTGCAGTGCAATAATGATCCGTAGAGACGACCCATAGGTCTATATTTCACACTTATCCACTAGCATACCCTCGCTGACAGTAACTTTTGTCTAGCACCCGCGTAAGATACTTGAACGCATATGAGGTATAGTGCAGAGAATCTGCGCTCCGTAGAGACAGTCCATGCTTTACATATTTACCCCCTGTCTCTTGTGTTTCGCGCGCGGTGCCGCTGCAGACGTGGACGAGTGCGAGGAAGGTCTGCATCGTTGCAACATGGTCACGCAGAAGTGCGTCAACACGCTAGGCGGCTTCGACTGCGTGTCCCGCACACCACCGGAGCCGTCAGACGGAGGCTGCGGCAGCGGATACGTCTACAGTCCCATCACGGAGAGCTGCGTCGGTGAGTTAGCCATCCTCCGCCTTCCTATGTCTACCGTACCGTTCCCTACTTACTGATGCAAGTAGTAGCACAGTCCTACTAACCATGACTTGAACCCTAATCTTAGTCCTAATTTATAATCTTTTATAAACTTTTATAATATTTTTATTTATAAACTTTTATAATATTTTTATTTCTTATATTCTTTATATATATATGTATTCTTTATATATATTTCTTATAATCTTTTTATAGCTTATAAAATTTTATAATCTTTTTATATATTATAACATTTTATAATCTTTTATAATCTTAGTCCTCGAACCTAAGAATAACCTACTACTCTACTTCTGGCCTAACCACAACCGTAACTTATCTCCAGCTTTAACCGTAAAGCCTAACCCCAACACCAACCCTAATGGTTAATACGATGGTTCTTTTAACTCTCATGTTAAAAATGGCTTCCTACGTTTATGATTGTGTAAAAAAATGCAGTGTTCAAAAGGTGGCAGCTGTGTGAACAAGTTCTTTCATGTGTTCGTCGCTCTATACATAAATAGACTCCTGATAGATATCCACACGCATCGCATTAGAAAGGAATTTTTGTCTCTCTGATTATCATGGGCATCATTTCATATTATTCATTCTTCTTATATTTATTGACATTGGATTATCTCATATGGTAGACGTCATACTACGCATCAGCATATCTACTATAGCAACATCTGGGATTTTGCCGCAGATCTGGACGAATGTGTAGAGGCGGCTCACCGCTGTGAGGAGAAACCCGTCTGCACAGAACACAATCGGGCGGCTCTACAGATGCGTTTGCCCGTGCAGGCTGCCGCCTGACGACAACACAGAGAGTTACCGTGGCAACGTCAGCCGATGGCGGCTGCCTAGTGGCTTCTCGTACAATCCCAACGGTATAGGAGATGTGAAGGTATAGGAATGGGTAACAGAAGCCGTATATAATATATAATACTACTCTCTATCTTTTCTCTAGGAAGGGAGCGAGAATATACAACGTAATAGAGGAGAAAAAGATTATTGTGCATCGCAGGACACTATATATATATATAGTTATTTTATATTTTAATTTATTATTTATCAAAGTTATTCAAGAAATTAAAAATTAATACAAGCGCGCTTAACGACATATTAACAATATTGTTACGAAATTTAATTAAAGAAATCAGTGAAAACTCACAAGTCAATAACGATGCTCGATCATTTTCACAGACTTCAATTTTGTCTAATTGTGCGGTGATGTGGTTTCAGCACAAGACTGCGTGACAGATGAATTTGATGTGATAATATTCAATTACTGCCCGAACGGAGCATTTTTCGTCATCTCTTCACTTCTCGGCTGCCAGACATAAACGAGTGCATGAGTTATAAGCGTCTGCTCAGCACGGCAACAAGCGCTGCCTCAACACGGCCCGGATTCGTACATGGCGTTGCTGCCGAGCGAGGTTTCACTACGAATTACGTTCAACGATGAATGCGAAGGCATGTGATGGCCAGGGCAATTCGTAGCAGCATTTTTAATAAAGCTCGACTATGAGGGCTGATTACTGGAGTGAGCTGCGTAAAGGTGTTCGTAGCAGGTTTGGCTAGGTGATACAGTGGGAGGCTGGCCAGAGCACGGAAAGCTAGCATGTAGGAGATAGAAGGCTGCGTTTTGATAGATAGTAGGGCTAATAATTAAGCTCGTAAAGGAAGCTAGTTAGTGGGTAGGACGGACTGAGAGAGAAAAAACTGCGTTCAGAGTATTGATAGACGTATCTATGCCGAATGGGCAGATATAACACTAATAAATCGCACATCAGGCATATAAATAGCGATATGTGTCCTGTCTGTTCGTATCATGCCCAGTTTGTATGTTTCATTTTGGTAAAGGTTGGATTCACGTAATTCTGCTATTGTGTGTTGTGGGCGCTGCGGCGTACGTGCGTTCGTGTATGTGTGTGTGTGTGTGTGTGTGTGTGTTGTCGTGATGTGTGTCAGGCCTATAGGTGGTGGTGTGTTCGTTCGTTCATCTGGTCGTGGTGCGTAATGTGTGTGCTACGGCGTTCACACCCCCCCGCGTCCCCGCCTGACACGGTCTGCGGCCGGTGTCATGTGTGCTGCGCGTCGTGCTGCGTGCGTGCCTGTGTGCTGTGTGCGTGCCTGTGCGTTGTGTGTGTGTCGTGATTTTATCCACTCAGAGCCTACGTGATGTTGCAGACATCAACGAGTGGTGCGTGGTGCATCTTCGTTCATCTCGCATCAGTCAGCGAGCGACAACTCTATAGGGCTGTCGTAACATCTGCACACGCGGGAGGGTCACTGTTGGCAGCCGGTTACACGTACATTCCGACAATCAGCCAGTGGTACCGGTAGTTCGTCCTCCTCTCTCTCTCCTTCTCTTCTCTCTCTCTCTATCTCTCTCTCTCTCTCGTCTCATTCTCTCTCTCTCTCTGCTCGTCTTCTCTGCGCTCTCTCTCTCTCTCCGTCTTCTCCAGCGTATATAGCGCATGCAGTTAGATGTATGCTCGTCTGCAAGTCAGTGTTAAAGCTTTGATGTGGAATGCTCCTTCGTTGTATACGCACTGCCACGTGATGATAGTTATAGTTTTGTTGAAAAGCTTAATGAAGTGTCATCTGTACCCGGACATAAATTTGTCGCTAATTGTCACAATTTAGTAAAAACGACTTATACTAGGTCCAACACGTATCCAACTAGTATATTTCCTTAGGAAAGGCTGGTGAATTTGCTTCTCAGGCATTCATTTCCCTGGTGCATCGGCCTTACGACGGTCATGTACAACATTTTTAGCAACATTTGCTGCAACATTTTAGCAACTGTTGTGCAGCGCGTTCTCAGCAACCTGTGTGCAGCAATTTCAGCAACTGTGCCGTGCAGCATTTCAGCAACCCCGTCGTGCAGCATTTTGCCAGCAACATTCTGTGCAAACACTCGTCTACCTAGGGAATGCATGCGCTTTTTCTTGTTTTTTTAGTTCTGTTTTTTTCCCCTTTTCTCCTCCTCCCCTGCTCGGCGTCCACTCCCCCGGCTCTGGCTGTCTTTGTCTCTCCTTTCTTTGCCCCTCCTCTCTTTTCATTCTTTCTTTCTTCTTCTTTCCCTTTTTTGCTCTCTCCCGGTGTTCGTTGCGTCCTTCTTCCTTCCCCTCTCTCTCTCTGTGGCTCTGTGTCCTCTCTTCTCTCTTATCTTGTTTTGCCTCCGTCTTCTCTTGTTCCCCTGTTCCCTATTCTGCCGTTCCTTCTCTTGTTCTCCTTCATCCTCTCCGTCGTTTTGTGTGGCTCCTGCCTTCCTTTTTTGTCTCCTTGGTTGGGTCTTGTTTCTGTCTTTTATTCTCTGTCTCTCCTGCTTGTGTCTTTCCCGTCTCTCCTTCTTTTTGGTTCCTTCTGTTCTGCTTTGTCGTCCCCGGTCGCCTTCTTTCTTTGCTTCCTCTTCCTTCACTTTTTGTTTCTCTCCCTTTGCTGTCTCTCTGTACTTCTCTTTGCCGCCTCTTCTTGGCTCCTTCTTTCTTCTTTTTCTGTTTGTTGTGTTCTGGCCGGTTTCTCTCCTTTCCTTTAGTTGGCCTTTTCGCCCCGCCAAATCCGCCGCTGCCTCCCCTCTTTTGTCTCTGTTCTCTGTTCTTCTTTCCTTCCTCTCTCTCCGTTCTCGTTTTTCCCTCGGCTTTTGTTTTTTCTCTTCATTTCTCAAGTCCGTCCCGCTCCTCTTGGTTCTTCGTTCTTCGCCTTCCCTGGCTGTGTCCTCTCTGTTCGTTTTCCTTTCTCTCTCGCTGTTGCCTGTCTTTCCTCCTCGTCCTTCGCCTCTCTTCTCGTGTCGTTCACCTTTTCCTCTTCCTTGTTCTCGTTCGTTCGCTTTCCCTTCTTTCGGTTTGTTTCTCCCTCTTGCTTCCCTTCCTCCCGTCCTTGCTCTTTTTCTTCTTCTTTTCCTTCTCTGTTCTCCTCCTCTCTTTTCGCTTCTTTTCCTGTTCTCTTCCTTCTTTTTGTATGCTTTTTTGATTTCTTCTCTTTCGCCTCTTTGTCCTCCCTCCGTGTACGCGGTTCCCTCATTGCCCATTCGTTCCTCCCTTCTCTTTCTTTTCCGTTCTTCTCTCTTTGGCCTCCCTTTTTGCAGGTTCGAGCCTCTCTGTCCTGCGATGGCCGTCGCCTGTTCGCCTCGTCACTTCTTGAGCTCCTTATCCTGTACATGTTCTTGTTCATCACTGCTTAGAGCGGTCCCTGGTTCTGCTCTTAGGGCGACTGTCAAGTTGACAATCAGCGACGTAGAGCTATTAACAATATTACGCCTGCCCTACGTAATTTTGCCAACCGCGTGAACACAGGATCGTCCCACGTATGCGCAATCTCCTTGCTGACACGATGGCCTCTATTCAGCGAAACAGAATTAATTTGCGTGTACGTTTTTCTAGTTGAGTTTCAGACCCCTACTTTGAGCGACATCCAATCTGGAATCTCTCAGTACATGGGAAACTTGTGATCATACATCGGAGGATTCAGGAGTATCTATAAATTTGTACATACACGTTTAAGATTCATAGATTGAGTCGTGTTGACAAGAGCTGGTAGTTCCATAATCTCAATACCCGCTCAAATTTTCTGTATTTACATTTTGTATTGCACATTGGTAAGCTACATGTTAATAAATAGCCTAAGGACTCGGGTGATGGCTGTACCTCGAGCTCAATTGAGATCTGCAAGCCGGCTGGGTCTGTCTTATTCCTGTCGGAGGCCAGTGTTGCTGCTCCTGGCGTCTCACATGTATCGAAGGAAGACCTGAATATATCAATGAGTTTGCCAGTCTCTACATGTGCTATTCTTTATGATCAGCTTTTCTTTCTACGTAATTTATCCTTGCAAGTAAGAAAGCGATAGCACAACTATTTGGTTTACTCGTTCGATGTGATTTTTGCGGCAATGTATCATGCCTTTAGTGTATCCAGTTGTGGATATATTGAATCCGTATACTGAAGATGCCTGAGAGAAATGCAACCAGCATCACGTGGTTATAGATCCGATCAACCAGAATGTCCTGTGGACACGCTATTGACTCAAGTCCCTCATGCAAAAACCAACCTTATCCGTGACTATGCGTCTCCAGGATAGAACACAGCGATGACATTATGGCACATCACTGTGATAGGATTCATCGTGAGACATATAAAGTCGATGTACTGAGATCTATGAGCTGATGAATGAGACATGATGGTGTATGATGCAACATGAGTGATGAGTGAGATCTATGATGTGTATAACTGAGACCATGAGTTATGATGAGACCATGCAGGTTGATGATGCAGACGAGTGAGTGATTGATGCAGACTTATGAGTTTGATGGTATGAGACACTGAGTGATGAGGCAGACATTGACGTGATGCATGAAGACTATGAGAGATCTGTATGTAACTATGAGTGGCATGCAGAGACATGATGAGATGCCATGAGGACTCATGAGTTGATGACTGTCAGACATTGTATTGAGTGCGATCGCAGACTGTGAGTGAGGATGAGACCATGAGATGATGATTTGAGAATGAGGAGATGATGAGTACCTATGATGATGATGTGAGATATGGATGATGTGAGAGACACTGCAGAGATGCTGAGACATGAGTGATGATGCAGACATGTAGTGATGAGAGACCTCATGCAGATGATTGATGAGTACATTCGAGTGAGTGATGCAGACATTGAGTGATTGATGCCACGACTATGTCAGTTATGCATTGAGACTTATGCATCTTGATTGATGAGACATCGAGTTATGATGAGACATTGTGGATTGATGTATGAGACATGATGCTGATGATGAGGACATGCAGAGAGTTGTATTGGAGACTGGCAGAGATGCTATGAGCGACTCTCCTTCTTTCGGCATGATTGATGCATGCAGACAGTCGAGTTATGTATGAGACTATGACTGAGGATGAGATCATGAGTTACTGATTGTCAGACATGTCAGTTGGATGCATGAGACATGAGTATTGATGCAGACCGATGAGTGATGAGAACTATGAGCTGCGAGTGAGTGGATGACTATCGCTAGTGATATTGAGGAGACAGGCAGTCTATGATGAGACGAGTGATTGCAGATGTACTGAGATTATGCCAGTGATCATGCGTATGAGCTGGCTCCTGCGTAACAGGAGCCTACATCGTGCGTCAAAGAGTCATACCCTTGAACTCTACCAGGCACCTCCGTCAGTGCAGGCGTACCTTGGTGAGCGTGCACCGATCCGGCCGTTACCTTTTTGCAGCGCCACTGTGATGTCGTGTTGATTGCCGACCTTTGCACGCACCTGTGTATGCGCGTTGCTCGCGCATTTGACTTACCTGGTGCCGCGTGGCGGGGCAGTTAAGCGAGAAAGGTCCTGCCAGGCTACTCTCTGCACCCTCCGTCCGTTCTCTGGCAGCGCACACCCATTACTTTGCGTTTGGCCGGCGTTTGCAGAGAGGATGCTGCTGTGTGGGCCCGCAACCTGGATGACCTAAGCCGATTACGCGTCTCTTCCGAGGATTGATGCTGCATGGAACGGCTCAGGTATGTATGTGAGCACTGACCTTTGCGATTTGCCTGACACTACGGGTAGAGATAGTGCACTACTGTCTGGGAGACGGGATGACGAGTCCTTTTAATCACACTCCGAGCTTATAACATGTGCGACACTTGTCGCATCGCCGCTAACTCTCGTGTAGGTTATTATTGTTGGCCTGTGCAATTTAAGTGATCTTTGAAGGTACGAGACCATGAACGTGAAGTTGTAACAGAGATTCGGTATTTTTTAGGGGCGACATTTTCAAGTATTTCATTTCATACAAGTGCTAACGTCTAAAGGATCGATGTCTACATCCGATAAATTTCTGTGATGGAATATTCTAGCATACTTGCTTCTCGGTCAAGCATAACATCCCCTTCATTTATACTTTGCGTTTCAGATATTTACACCAGCTACGTAAGTGTAATCGCAAAATCATTAAGAATCTTAGCTGCTGCCGGTAGTTACATTATGACTCACTCTTGTTTTTATACTATGGGATAAGATCAAAATTGTTTGCCGTCCCAATTGTTTGATTGCTCCTAATTCATTGACCACGTGCTCTCAAGTCTAAACAGCTCTAAAGCAGACCCCCCCTCCCCTCAATCTATTCAAGTAACAGAGCTCTTGGTCCCTACATAAAAGCGTGAGGTTGTCCGAAGGGCCACCTTGAATGGCCAATTCCTGTGTGCGAGAAATTGGCTGTACATTAGAATGAATGATTAGCATTCCGAATTCCGGATGTCAAAAGCAAATGCTCCTTCCATCTTATACTTTGTTGGTTTAGCATTATCATTATTATTCCAACATCTACGTGCATGGCACACGAATCCTCGTACGGGGATGGCGCACATCGATCCTTCTACATGGAATGCTGGC